ACCGAAGCTGTGTCACTGACCCGCCCTTCTCTGCATCTGATTGGCTAGTAGTCCTTAACTAGGAACTGCACATGTGCAACTCCCAACAAAGACCTTGTAGAGGCAAGATGTATCACTCCATAGCTAAAACAAAGCGTTCAACACAGGGTGAAAAGAGAAGCTGCAGCAATGTGCAGTATGACAGAAAATATGGTGTTTTTTGAAAATGAAACCATGTAAACCTGTTCTGGTACAACCCCTAAATAAGATTTTGAACCTGAAAATGAGCATAATATGATCTCTTTAATTGATGGTGATTAATGAACTAATTGATTCACCATGGTAAATAACAATGTGTACTCTACTCTATAAAATTGAAGTATACAGCTCTACTGCACTGTGGTTACTTTTGCAACGTGGATCCATGTGTTGCAGCATTATGCACATGCTGCAGCATTACTACCGCAATGAATCATGATGGTCAGGATTCCCTTTGTCACTACAAAATCAGACATTTCTGTGCCATTTTTTGTAATTAAAGCAGCAGAGATCTGCTGTGGCCCCACAGCAACACGTGCACCGACACAACCGGAATTCTGCCTGTTTTCAAAGGGTCAGGGCCGACCGCGGGGCTCGTTTTCCTTAGTCATCCTGAGTCACAGGGAGCAAGACAACCCTCCCCCGCTCATTGTAACATTTGGAGTCTCCCCTAAAATATCAGGTGTTTTGGACACAAAGCATGCTCACTTAAGACTACAATCATGTGGCACATAGCAGATTCACTGATATCACAACAGACTATATTAGGTTAATACATGAAGGTCAAAATCTTTATCATTTATGGCTCACATTGTGAAGCTCATAATTTCGAAATTTAATGACAATTTCATTACAGTCCAGTTTTAATGTTCACAATTATCTAAAGACAAGCGGGCATATCTCAGTACCCTCACCAATTATTTTCATACCAATGTTACGGAACAAATTTCACTTCATTCATTCAATCTACTTGATGAAACTATTCTCCCAGAAAATAACCATTAGCTCATTCCAGAAATAGTTTCACCATATCATCCAGATCCCTAAATTACAGCCATACTGTACTTTCAAATGTCCCATCACTAGAGACGAACTAAAGTTCGTACTTTAAATAAGGAGAAAATTTACACTTAGTGAGTAAAAGTCGGCGCATTTTATGACCTCTAACAAGTCTAATCACCTGTAATTACAAAGAGAGTGAAGCACCTTCACTCTGCTTATACCTTAATGTCGTTCACGAACTGGCAACCAGAAAATGCAGAGCAGAGTACACAGTGTCAAGCAGAGTGAATCCAGACTTGTTGGCAGGCATAAAGACACAATTTTCCTTCTGTGTGCTGCACTCTGAGGATTAAGGCTGGCAGTAAGCTCACATCTGCACAAGATATAGACATAATACCTTGATATTTCATGTTGCACAAAGCCAGTTAGGAAAGGCTGCCATCATCTGCCAGGATCTCCCATCATCTCCACATGTCTCCCCAACTCATCCACAACGCTGCAGTCACCAATCACTCATATACTTTTCTGAGATGCCTGGCGCATAACATGTTGACTGTTTGTGCTGCGTAACACCTGCCCCTCATGTATACAAGTGGGTGTGTTTTTGATGTAGTGGCTAAAAGCATAAAATTTACCTCTTACTGTACTGGCTCCACATCACACATTCTGAAGGCAAGAATTGGGAAAAACAGGAAGTGAATTACTCCAATTATTCAAAATAGCTGCCTATAAAGCATATAATTGACTTAAACACATCCTGCAGACATTTCACTTGACAATTATGATAATTGTAAATGCCTCATTTAATTGCAAGTGATTAACATAAAAAACAATTCAATAAAGGTATAAAGGTAGATAATTTGATACACACAATATTCTGGTGATATTTAGAGATTAAAAGAATTTCTACGGTGTAAATGAGGCAATTTAGGATTCAAAACTATTATCTATGACTGCGGTTGGTGAATATTGTATGTTACTGTATTATGTACATCTGGCTGAGGGTGTCTTTTATGTTGATTTTAATCTTGACTGGTTAGGAATAAACACTGCAGTTTAACGTGAGATTAAATTTGTGTGCAATTCTGTGGCAATAAGAACCCCTAGCAATTTTTATTTCCATGTACAGTATATGTAGGCTACGTAGTTAAATGTAAGCTGAAACCATGATGCTCAATGCATTCTGCTTTTGACAAGTCTCGGAAAGGAGGCAAGATTATCTACTGCACTTTTAATTTAATATACCATTATTGATTATAACCCCCAGGAGTGTTATTGTAGCTTTTAACTGTAAATTGAAACAGGAACAGAATAATAAATTCTACAATATATGGTAATATTGATTTTCCTTGCCATAAGTAAGTAGGAATTTAATAGTATGGTATTTAAGCTAAAGTATCAGCAGACTGATTAAAGTAATTATTAAATAAATTGTTTTAATTGACACTTACATGTTGAAGTATTGCTTTGCAGTAGTGGAAAGTGAGTGCATTTGCTCACGTACTGTACTTAAACGCTCATTTTAGTATTTCTATTTCATGCTACAGAGGTAATATTTACCAAACTGATTTATTTACTGATACATTTATTTGAGTATACAATAGTGTAACAAACACATGGGCCATTTTTCTTTTGATACTTTAAGTACATGTTGCTAATAATACTTTTTGTATTTTTACCCAAGTAATATTTTCAATGTTGCAAATTATGAAATATTGTAATGGACTATTTTATCTTGTATTTCTGCAACTTTTACTTAAGTAAAGGATCAAAATACTTCCTCCGCCTCTGGTGCTTTTTCCATTTTTTAGGCATCTCTTTAGCAAGTAAAATTGTTTTGTATGTGCTCTAAATGTCATACTTTAGATAACACACTTTGCTGCATAGATTTGTCAGTGTTGCAATTCTCTACTTATTAAAGGGCCATTTTTGGGAATCTTTTCTTGGAAGGACTCTTTTTGGATCTCTGAGGAAAAAAGGGCAGCAAAATGTTCTGTTTTTTTCCTAACTACTGGATATGTTATCAATCAACTTACCAGCAAGAGGCTATGTGACTTTTCTAGGACGTCTTCTGATCATTTAGTAAACTTCCACTGAAAATGTATCACTTATCAGCCAAGTCATGAGTTTTTTGGTAGCAGTGTCTCCAACAGTGCAATAATACAGAAAGCGCTGTATATTAAGAGGACAGGAGCACATTGGCCATGATACTAACTGAAGTGATGGGGGCATTTCCTTGCTGCCACACAGAATCTGCTCCTCATCTCTCATCTCAGTGTTGGAGTGCACAGGGGTCGACTTCCCCTCCTCCCATATTGGTACAAGTTCAAGCTCCTCCAATCCACATGGAGTAAAATAATGGTCTTGGGATGCAGGGATAACAAGGTGGGAGGGGTATCAGGCACCAGAGATGGACTGCCTCCCAGAAATAATTTCACATACAGAAAACCTACAGTATGCAAGGTTGTGAAATGCCAAAACCACACTTAATTGGATGGAAATAAAGAAGAAGGAATGGGGGTAAATAGAGGTAGATATGCTTCTATTGGCAGCTTACCAAACAATAAATTCTGAATAAATGTATCATCCATATGTTATGTAGAAAGCAACCATCATTCACTAGCACTAAGATCTTTCAGTTGGCTATATCCCATTCCATCACAATGACTTTACATATAGCGAGAATTTTCGAAGCATAGGGGAGAAACTCATTATTACAGTGGCTCCTATTTAAGCCCTTGCTGCTGTAGCGTTGACAAATGCTCCACACAGAAACCAATGTGGCATATTTCAAAGGCATCCAGCACAATGAAACGGTTTTCTAATCCTGGGGAATAATGCCAGGTGCTGGCTGCTCCCCAGGTTAAGTGGTGGGAGTGTTTTTTTTGATATATTGACACAGAAATGATGCGATAATCACTGAATCAGGGAATATGTGTATGGAGGGGCCGTCAAAGCAATAGTTGGCACATTCAAGATATGCAAAAGGCTTTTAGAGCTATAGAGCACTATGGGTAAAGGCACTAGCGCTATCATGAATAAAGAAAATCCTATGTGTTTTTATATACAGATTTTATATGAACAGCTGCAAAACATAAGCACATAGGCCTATAGCTTATTTTAAGCTTAATTGTGCAAGTATTCCTACCTGGATGGTGGTATTGTTCTTTTGGCAACTATTTAGTTAAAGAAAATTATTTTTAGCAAAGAACCTGTTTTATTATAATGAGCACTACTGCTGCAATTAGCGCTATTTTAAATAATTCAGCTTTATAGTTTTTGATAATGTGAGCCAGCATGCTACAGCATTGTTCAACAGAAATCACTGCAAAAGCCCTAAAACTAAAAACGCATATTAGGCAACGCTTTTCAACCCCTGTGAAATATCCATTATTAATTAATCTCAAGAGTTTACCAGTCAAGTAATTATGAAGTCTGCATGTGCTTCCAGTCATTTGAACAGCTCCTGCAGGACTGAACTAAATCCCGAGGAGAACCCCTGCACCGCCCATCTATGTTCCTGCTGAAATGATCTGAGAACAAAAGATTATGAGACACTGTGGCTCAGTCTCTCTCAACTTGATTGGCATGTCTTTTTAAGGCTGAAATTGTATATTATTTGAAACTGACGGCCAGGCCAATGAACGCCAAATTAACAGCTTATGTCAATTAGACGCGCCGGTTGCAGTTGCCTCCCAAAAGCACATTTGTACAAAGAAGTTGCTCTCTTGTTGCTCACAGATTGGCCCTGACCAACGTGTTACACATGCAAAAAATATAGAAAACCCGGTGAAAATTAAAACAGAAATTAGGACCACAAAGATGCAACCATCATTTGTGCGTTAAGGTGCCAAATGGTGCGTCCATGAGCCGCTGTATTCTCTCTTCTCACCAGGGCTTCCATTAGAAACTAGCCACATAAGAACAAAGACAGAAATACATTTCATTACAATATTGGGAATTAATAGACAAATTCTTACCGCTATGCGAGTCTGTGAATATGCTTTAAGATGTAAGATGATCCTTGTTTTTGGAGGGGAAGGTCGTTTTGGACTTGGTGAGGTCCAAACTTGAATTCCGACGTTGATAATCTGCTCCACTTTTCGGGTGGAACCAGCAGGGTGTTTCACTGATGTCTTTTTATTTTATCTCATAACATCACTACGAGATGTGTAAGCATTCTTTGTCCCCTTCCCGCCACACAATACTGTCTTCGATCGAGGAGGGTCGATTAAACTATGTGGTCTGCTGCGTAAAACCGGTGCCAAAATTCCTGCGGGCCCATTCCGTTACAGCGATGCTAGACAATAGTCTGGTCATTTTGGCACGGACTGAACCTACCACGCTACCAAGAACAGTAGCATTAGCTGATTAAAACCAACTCGTGAGAGCTAATTTGTTCATATCTCTGTGACTGGCTCGAGAATTTGCTATAAATACGTCAGTCGCTCACATGTTGCCAGTTATCTCCGGTATTGTCTTTCGGGTCTCTCATCTTTTCTTTCTTCGTAGTAGGAGTGGACACAGTGGAGTTGCCGAGCTGTTGATCACTGAAGGTCCACCGACATCCAGCGCAGTCTTTGTCTCGTATTTATCAGGACCGGGCTTTCCGCCGTTTTCCACATGCAGTCTGACACTGGCTGAACGAGGGTCTCGGTGAGTGACAGCTGGATGCTGTGACTGAATGCTCGGCGACACGTTTGCAGGAGAGCAGTAAAGCAGGATGTTGCGCGTACCCGCCTTTGACAGTGCGCGTACCCGACAGGTCACACATCTTCGGTCCACAAACATCTGCCTGAAAGGAAGGGCAACTAAGCCAATTTTATACAAAGCCTCCACGTTTTTTAGCTTATAGTGTGCAGCCTCTCAGAAATTATCAGAGTAGCCTATTGAAGCCTGTTTTTCTGTTTACAGTTTATAATGGCATAATTATTCTTAATGGAATATTTAACAGCTAGCCTTTTCAATACCATAATCCTAGAATTTAACAGACTAATATTTGTATAGTGTTAATTAAGAATGTATAGGATTACTATGGTTTGTGTGTTTGGTATGTGGTGATTTAACTGCTTCATATTGTTTATTTTTATCCTCAATTAAAAATTGTTGAGCTGGTTTTACATTTTGATTTTAAAAAGTTTTTTATAGTAAGCAAGTTTGGGCAAAGCTACGCAATTTAAAGAACTTTACACAAAGCATAAAAGAAAACAATAAGAGAATAGAAAAATACTGGTAAAAAAACACAATAAGTTTCAGTACAGTCAAAGAGGAGAGAAATGGTAAGTTATAACAGAACAGTCTCTTCTCTGAACATAACTGGCTTTGGTCTGGTTTAACTGGGTCTAGTTTGGTTTGTGGTGGCCCCCCAAAGATGCAGCAGTGGGACTTCAGTTGGCCTTGTGGAGCCCACAAAGCTTGGATAATGTGCAGATGTGATGAGTTTAGTCCACTGGATGGAAAATGACGTGACACAGTTTGACAACCCATGACAAAAATGAGAGATTGCACCACCGGGCCACAAACCATGTTCCAAGGAAATGACTGAACCACACAAGATCCTTCAACGGATGACGTCTGTGATTCCATACAGTCAAAAGGGCTTCCTGCAGAGAAATTTGTGGAAATGATGGTGATCATTCCAAGGTGCTTTACTGTTCGTTACCAGCTCACTGTGTGAGGGCCTGCGTCTGGTCTCAATCTGCTTTTGTGGAAGCCCTCGAGCAAGGGAACACACATGGCTCATTTGGCAAATTGAAACAGCTATTTGCTTTAAGTTTACAGCTTGATTGTTGTAAACTAGAGTTGCTCATAACCCCCCATTCTGCAGCCCTCTCAGGCACCCGTGCACGTGCAGCCTCAATCAGCCTGTGAGCTAAACTCAGAGATAGATTGACTTCTGAATCCTCTAATCTCTGTGATTAGAGAATGATTCAGTATTGTGGGTCCTTCAGGTGCCCTAGGGTGCAGGAGTCACACAGTCATGTGGTTGTCTTTTGTTTTTTTCTGCTCACAGCTCAGACCTTGCCAGACCTCAAATTGCCACTGACCTGCCGGGCAGTGATGGCGCCCTCCTGTGTTTCTGTAGGATAGGCTACATTTGACTATTCAAGAGGGAGATGTCAGAACATATATTATGCTCTTTGCTAAAATGAGAAAGTGAGGACATGTTCAAGGCTTAGTTTAGTTTAGAAACTTTTGAATGGGGGAGGGCAGACTGGGAGGACAGTTTTTGAAGACCTAGAGCTTGGTAATAATAAACTGTACATTATTTATGGGTACATTATTGATTCAGTGTTATACACAAATGGAAACTTTAAATATTCTAATATGAAATAATAGCAATAAACAGCTGCTATTTGTAACCCAAAACATACTACCAATACGCACAAATTATGCAATAAGCCATTCCTTCTACAAAGGACAAAGACACTGAAGCAGCAGTTGTTTTGTAGAGGGTTTGAATGTCTTTTTGGTTGAAAATGTTAACAGTCCGTTGATACAGAGGCTTTGTTCTGGTAGGCCTGTTCAGAAATCCATCCATGTTAAGCCAACTACCTATCACCCTCTTAATCTGGTAGAGGGAGTACCAAAGATTCACCCCTGGATATATTTGGTCTCTACCTCAAGTCACTCACAACCTGCAGACACTTTTTGGAGTCATGACATTGTTTGGAGCGTGCTCAAACTTCATCATCTTTATTCAGCCTGTGGATAGATTTGTATAACCTGCCACTACTTCGCTATAAGCAGACTGTCGATATGAAATTGCCTGAATAGACTCTACATGTCTGTAGCTTACGTTTGGGCTGGATGCTCTGGAGGGAAAGGTCTGCTCGTGACATTAGCAGGAAGAGACAAGTGTGATTGAGTCACAGACACATGACAGAGCCAGAGAGGTGTGTAGGTGCAGAGAGACAGGACAAGATGAAGGAGAGGTAAGAGCAGAGGACAGACTCATTGCAGTGAAATGTGACTGATGAGGTGGTGGAGATCAGATGGAGGTGGAGAGAAAAAAACAGAAAGGGCCTTGACTTGCAAGAGGAGGGTGCCCCTAGCCAGCCCTATATCGAGGCAGAGTCTTGCTCCTGTCTATATTTAGCACAGGGGCCACAGATTGTAAAGAGTGCTTCGGGGCCTTGTGGTCAGACCGGCAAAGACTGCTGCCATCCGTCTCAGCGCTCCGGGCCAGGCACGATCCCGGCTCACGCCAGCGCAAGGGAGGAGTGACGGGACCGTGCCGTCTCAGTGCACGTTTACTTAACACATGTGCAGGGTTGATCACATTTTGTCAGAGCAGATGCCTTCAAATCAGAGGTGAGAGGATACAAACACAGAAAGCATCTGTGTGTCGATACCTTAATGAGTAGAGTGTCATCACTGCACTTAGCAATGCGATGGTGCATTCATGTTTACGGCAATTCCTCAATGTCTTAATTTCTCCTTCCCCAAAGCATTTTGGAAAAGGGCACAGTATCCCCCCCATCACCATACATCCACGTCAAAAATTTTGTCTCGCTGGGGAGGATTGACATTCAGTCCAAATGTCAAAGAAGCTCAAGCAATTTTTGACTCTTTCTGTCCCCACTTTTACCTTCCCCATCTCCACCACCTCAAGGACAGTTCGGGGGAGTGTCAGTGGTGACTGATGAAGGACTGAGCCATTCAGACACCACAGTCTTCTGAAGGTGTGACCAGGCTCACACATCACGCCATCATGAAGTGTACTTAAACGCTGCTCTTTAGAATGATCATCTACTCAATATATATCTCTTAAAGATAAAATACAGTACTTCTCACCTTTAAGCTTGAGAGGTTGGCAGTTTAATCTTCTCACAGAGCACAGGATGAAGTATCACTTAAACACTCAGGAGACATTATGCAATTCTGAAAGCTTAAAAAATAAGGTTTCCTAAATGATGAGCTGCAAGCAGTTTGTTCATGCCTTCATTTTCACACCTCTGTTAACATTCAGACCAACAAACATTCTTTAAAAACGGTCTATAATGTTGCACTAGTAAATGTTGCATTTCGCAACTGTATACATGAGCTACTATTCAATTCAATCAATTTGCATTTGTTAAATTTTGTGATTTCCTGCAAAAAATAAAACAATATATACAGCTACTTATATACATCATACATGTATGCACCCACAATATTCTGCAGTGGAGAATAAAAAAATCTTATTAGTATTTCACTTTTTTTTCTTCCTGGAATGTTTTCAGTAAATTTGGTCAAATTTGCATCCACAATAGAGACATTTGAACCCTTTTCCTAGTGTTGTTGTACTCGAACTCGACCATATTTGTACTGTGTCTTGTCTCGGTCTCGGACATTGAGGACTCAGGATTTTATTTAAAGACCTGTCAAGACCATAACTTTTTATCAATACATTGCTTTTGCATTGTGTGATTTATTTGTTAACATCCTAACTTTGATTGGATGTAAAACTTACTGCTTCCAATGCAACCAATAACCCCATTTAAAAATGTGTTGGTCCCGTTAACCCTCCCCGCGATGCTAAGCATGGAAAAAGAGATGAAGATGCTTATGTTTGATTTCAGCTTAGTGTTCGTATGTGTTTTTTTTATTTTTACAGGAATGTGGATCTTTCAGATCAATTTAAGAAGTACCTGTGATCTTGTTCCACATTTTATTGTGTCATGTAATGTAGGGAACTGGTCTTGACTCGTTCTTGTCCTCCCTCGGTCTTGGTCTCAGCCCCTAAAAGTCTTGGTCTTGTCTCGGTCTCGATAAACTCTGGTCTTGGTCTTGACTTGGTCTCGACTACAACACTACCTTTTCCTTTAGCTATACATTTAGACATGTTTCCATGCTTGCCAACTAGTTTTCAAACATCTCATCACAGCTTTTGTTACAACAGACTCAGGTTGTTGGGAGGCACTTCTCATCTTTGGTAGGTAGTTTATTATTGTTGGTATTTATTTTCCTCCAAAACACCAAATAAGTAGATATGTCTGAGATAAGCTTGTCAATTTTGTCACGTATAGCAACCGCAGAAGAACCCCCTGGAGTACAGTTGTAAATGTCTCCCTCTCATTGGCATTCAAGATGTCCAAAAGACTTCTAGACTGACTCAAAACATGAAGAGTGAGCAGTTAAAATTTTCAGCTATCTCAGATGTCAATTCAAAGTCTTGCTTCAGTGACATCTGTCATCTTTAACACGCTGCATCATTCCTTCTTTTTCCTTTTATTTGGTCATGTGAGCCTAACCTTTGGTTTCCCTCCATCTGCCTCCAACCATCCCACAGCCTGTCCATCAGTCACTGCCCACACAGCATCCCAGACACACCAATCACTCAAACCATCAGCAAATCTCCAACTTAGCATGACTAGTCTTCACTTGCAGACAGAACATTTAGTCAGCTTCACTCAAACTTCCCAACTGACAATTATATCATAGCTACACAAGCCCTCAGCAGTAGCATCATTGTGAGATGTGGTTTATTTTGTGGTCCAGGAAAGTACAGAACACTGAAACATCTTTCTTTGAATTACAGACTTTATTTAGACGCACACCCGATCAATAACATGTAATTTCTTTTTTTTTTTAAAAAGGCATCCAAGTTATCTTATTCTACAAAAACAATGCTAATTTGTACATAAAAAGTAAAAATACAAGAATAAAGATGAGACAATGCAAACTTCTGCAATGTTTGACAAATACAGCTAC